GTGTGAGTAGGGGGTTGGCGTGGGGGGGGGGGGAGGGGGCGCGTCGGGGATGGGGTAAGGTTTGAGGCAGATGGTGCTGTGTTTACATGTACATGTATACCCATTCTTACTCCGCATTTGTGGCGACTAAACAAGAGTTTTTCCCATGGTAATACAAGTATGGGGACCAGAAGACGCTGTGGAAGCTGCAAAAAGGCTCCACAACTACAATCCCGGCCAAAATGGTTTGGTGTTCTCTTCAGCGGATGGAGCACACACCGCGCAATGAGAGACAACATTGAACGGGGGCTGGGGGGTTGGGGGCCCAGCGAGATTTGGCCATGATTGTCTGAATTTTGTCATTGTTCAAAATATGCATGACATGCCGTTTTGGGAGCTATTTTCTTGAGTTTTGTTTTCAAAATATGAAATGGAGGCCGAAGGTTGAATGAAAGAACAAGTATTTAGGCCAGATAATAATGATTGATAGTAATACAAAAATGGAAATTAAAAATACAAATGTTCCAATTCTTTAAAATCACAACTTTATTGTTGCCTGCATCGTAACGGTTCACCATGACGGTTCACCATGCCATTTTGGCCAACAACTGTGCAAAATGCAGTTGTGTTTAACTTGAAAGGCTCATTAGGATACACAAACAACATACAATCCTTGTCAATTTGTTTGTATTCACTCATTCCGTTTATTTGCCAAAAAATTCATCGGTGATCCATCCAAACCAAAATATAAAGGAATTGAGTGACTCTGCTTCTTATATAATTTACAGCGGTGAACTGTGGTTACACTATGGTTTGGATGAATTTTTCGTCCAAATGAGGGTTAAAAAACTAATTGAAGAAGATGACACGTTGTTTGTGTATCCTAATTACGGCTTTCACGTCGAACACAATCTGTATTTTGTACAAAATATTGGCCAAAATGACATGGTGCACCGTACCGTCATGGTGAAACGTGTGCATTGACCACGTTACCAGCGCGCGCATGTGTATATTATCATTTGAGCGCGTACTACGCGCAATATTTTAATCCAATATCAAGGCTATTGTACATTCAGACAATTCCGGCCAAAATGGTTGGGACACTTGGAAATACCCTTAGCTTGCAACGGTCACCAACTCCCCCGCTCTTTTATGTTGACATTTAAAAACTGACCCCTACACCCTGGCACATCAACGAGAATCCTGATCCCCATCATGCCCATCACAACCCTACCTTCAGCCTCCCTTCCTGCCTTCGACAGCGAGCCATGGTGGCTTCGTCGTTCTCGTTTTGTCCCAGCTTAATAACTAAATCACGACTAATCATTTGAACCAGGATTTTCTCTTAGTCATTTTTCTACGCTACATTTACAACACTCTGGGACCTATTATTCAAAAAGTCCTGAATCCAACCACCAATATGTTGCGTTAATACTCAGACTACAGAGTTTTGTAACCAACAAGTTATGCGGAACTTTGTCAAATGCTCGTGTCCAGTCTAAAAAAATGCAATGGACATCAGGGGGATTTCATTGATTTAAGATACTGGCCCATTCATGATAGATTTGGACAAAAGGCTATTACAACAAAAGCCAGGCCGGAATCCAAATTGGTGTGGAGACAACAGCGGGTTGGTGATACAGTGAGAGTAAATACGATCATGAATAATTCTTTCAAGTACCTTACATACTACTGAGGTTAGGGATACTGGCCTATAGGAGTCAAAAGATTTACGATCCCCTTTACCCTTGAACACTGGAACAGCATTGGCATCTTTCCAAGCTGACGGAACCCTTTGCACTTCAAGAGTATAGTTAAACAAATCTGCAAGAGAATAACTTAAAGCAGAGGCAACTGACTTTAACATTTTAGCTGAAATATTGTCAGGTCCAGGTGCACTGTTAGATTTCAGACTGCATATGGTTTTACACACAACATCAGGGGTGACAAGGAGGTAGTCAATTTCAGTTTGAGAATGCTGGCATTTAAAGCTAATGGTACAACAATCCAAAGGATTAAAATACTTCTGAAAGCAAGAGTTAAACTTATTGGCTATAATTTCATTGGAGGTGTAATTGCCGTGAGAATCAGTGAAAATAGTTAGATTACCAAGGCATCATTTCTGACGAACAATGAACCATAGATTCTTGCACTGGTTGCTGTTTTGATCAGCTAAAGATGATATATAATTGACATATTTCTTTCTGACTGTACAACGAATGAGATTACTGAATTTCTTATAATTTGCCCAGTGCTGAGGTTTACCAGATTTCAAAGCCTTCTTTCTCAAACTACATGGATTTTTTTTTTTGGACAAATTGACAATATCAGGAGTGATCCATGGTTTCTGAGTATTGCCACTGATATGCTTGGAGGGGATGGCACTGTCAAGACAAGAGAAAAATGTTTTTGATCCATTTCCCCCATAACAGAGCCAACATCAGATCCAGGCTCACTAAATCCAACAAGACCTCACTCTGGTTGTTAAGACCTATATGGCAAATTCTCATTCCATTCCCAAGATACTGAAAGATTGAAATTACCAACTACCATAACCAGATCAAATTTGGAGTAAAAGCCCTCAATAATTGTCCACAGAAGATGTGGTTCCCTCAGTTTGTATGTTCCTTGCTCTGTGGTTCCACCAATCCCCTGTCCACTTGGAAGTTGATGGGATCAGGCCAGCCCAGCCCCATAAATGTGGCCTATTAACTGGACTATTAACTATCTCCATAAATAAAGGTCTCTCTATAAAATGTATTCACACCAGCAGAACTTATTACAGAATTCATTTTCACATTCAGACTGAATGCATAGTTGATTTATGCTTTAAAAAAAAAAACTCGCCTTGTTAATAACAAATGCAAAGTGTTGCATAATTAACTTTCCAGCTTTTGTGTAATTTTCAGCTGATTTTTTAGGCTTCTTGACATCCGTTTGCGTGTAATTTAATTGCAACCATGTTCCAGCTAAATAATGCTCTCGCACAATATACCTGATGGGATACATGGATAGTTCAACTGTCAGTTACATGGCGCACTGCATGCCCAGTGGCTGTTGCCTGACTTAAATCCTTCATGTATAGTTCACCCTCATGTCGGCCTGGTATCCGTACCATCTATGTTCATACGTATGCACACTACATACCCTAGGCGGGCGAACAGGATCGTGTGCATACGTACCTACATTGTACAGCTAGCTGGTCAACAGTACCCACATAAGGGTGCGCTATACATGAAGGATTCACTGAAGTCAGGCAACAGCCACCAGGCATGCAGCATTTTTTTTTCTAAGGACAAATCTGCACCAGTTTATTAAGATCCAAACCCAATGGACAGCTTCTGCTAGACATTTTCTACCAAAGATCTACATAATAGTCAACGAGGAGTGAGACTTTGGTATGATCTCTAGTTGGGATTTGGGTCTGGAATAATTTGTATGCCAACAACATCAACACCACATCGCAACATACAACACTATTTCAGATTATATATACATATATCTATTTTTTTTGTTTAAGCAGGACATAATTTGAGTTCTATCAAGGGCCTAAGGGAATTGCTTGAAGCCGATGTTGAAACCAAGAATTGGGAGATCATGTATAAGTCTGGTTCCAGGATTGTAGTTGTGCGCTACATTATAGAACCACAAAGTGGGAGTCCTTAGGCAGATATATGTATGGGGAAAGCGGCCACAGATTGATGGTAACGGGAAGTTCTTGAACGTAAGATCTTTGTGGTGTAAAACACCGCATATATTAATATTTGTGGCACATTTTTGCGACTCGGATATTGTTAGCCTTTGTTTTGAATCGAGTCAAGTCTTCTGATGAGGGACTAGCTCGAGTTGAGTCGAGTCATTTGCTCGAAGTGTCTCAAGTAAAGTCCAGTCACTCACCCACTGGAGTCGAGTCATGGACTTGTGTCATCACAACTCTGGCTGCAGCTGTGTATCAATAGCATGGAAGGTTTCTATCCTTTACATCTGCTGGATGATTGGCTTATTGTTGGTCCCTGTCCATTCTAAACACTGTTCAGCTTACACTTGAATTGTGCTTCATCATTACTGAGCAATTTTCATTGGTCCCTTCTCAAAGTCCGACGTTTTATGAACCTCCCTCAACATGATAGGATGTTGTGTGACCTTGGAAGAAAATTTTCACTTGCGCCCAACTTCACCTAATTTTAACATTTATCATCCCAGAAGTTATGCCATTTCCAAACCTGTTAGAGTAAATCCATGGTAATCATGTGATATGCCTTTCCTCCAGTCTCTGTGCTACCTCAATTCCTAGAATAGATTGATCAGGAGAGATGTAAGAGAATTCTCTGTAAGTCTGATTGCCCCATTTTGGCCAAGACAGGCATGGTTTCCTGGAATCTTGTATCCCCTAGTCCAGCCAAACGTCAGGACCCTCTTACATAACCCATCTCAGAGATACTTCACTCAGTCTCCATCTTTATGTGTCATCTGTCTGCATGTTTAAAAGATACTTGTTTTTTTACTCCTCATACTCTACAACTCTGAATTGCAAGAATTCAGGGCTAATTATTGGCCATTGGTGGTATTCATAATGACTTTCATGATGGCCACAACCCATCACCAATGCCCTGCCCTGATCTCCCACCTGATTAAGGGAATGTGATTGGAAAACCACCCATAAAGCAACTGACTCCAACTTACAGACCTTTGCACTGTTCTTCACAAGTTGGCAAAAGCCCCATTGAACATAACAGGTCTTCATCTCTTCATCATTTGGCAAGTCAACAACTGTCCTATCTGTGGTCCTTACAGATCGTCGCATGCCTAACGTGCAGCACTGGATTGCCCACATGTGCAAGGATCCGCACGTGTACACCCAGGGCATGTGCCTTTAATCCATGGTCCCTAAATATAAGCCTTAGAAAAATTCATCTTTAATTACATCAGTGACACATGATGACGTCATCATGACATTAATGTTCAGCACACCTAATATTAATTCTCCCCCCTCCTTTTTTATACAATTTCATGTTGTACAGGTGAGTGACCTGATACCTCTATTGGCTGCATGTAAGCCAAGGAGCAAAATTGATACTGATTATTATCAACTTCATAGTCTCATCACCCTGGTGGAGCTAGCTGTGGGATATGATAGAGAGATGTACCAGGCAACAGACAAAGTGAGTAGTATTTGCATATGGTGCAAGGTAATCAAATATGTGATCAAATGGTCTGTCTCCGCGTGCCCATATTGGCATTTTATGAATATCCATATGCTGACATACCAATGAGCTATTGTTATCTTTCATGGAACATTAATGTATCACAGTATGATTTGCTACTGCTTATGTCTTATGTTGTTCATCTATAGATTTTGTTTATCCAAATTTTTGGAAGACAAATATGTGACCCTCTGGCACAACACCAGTTACATATATCCATTTTTTTAAAGACTGTCCTTGTGGGCTCTTTGGAAGCAGCACCCAAATTGTTATTATTTAAATTAATTCAAATCCTTTTTTGTAATGAATGGTATAATGCCTCATCATAAGAAATTTGATCAAGCATAATTCTATATAAATTCTTATTATTCTAGGAGGCCTTGGCAAGGGTGGTGATTTTGTTGCGAGACATGGCAGGCGATATTCGAGAGAGCCACAGACATCTCTGTCGCACTCAGGTCAAGGATCTCATGATTCGCATTGCAAGTGAACTCACATACCTGGAACAAACTCTGACAAGGAAACAGGTGAGAATATTGACATTGTGACAGTTGTGGAGTATTTATGCTAACATAAATTCACTGTTTAGATTAAAAAGACTTGGATGATTTGGATTCCATGAATGATAAGTAGATGCCACTTTGTTACCGCTGGTAAGAGCTCAGAGTGTGGAATACACACCATGCTCTTCCCCATCAGGTTCATGCACGCACAATGTAAAGTACATAAGACTAATTTTAGTCTGAGTAAACATAGCCTGTAAGGGTGGCAGTATATGCAAGAATCCGACCTGTTGTTACCATTGAGGGAGTATTTCTGCATGGAGTCCATATAAAGTATATGTGGTTGCAGACCAGTAAATAAACTTCCACAGACCCCAATGGTAAATGCTCACACTTCAGAAATTCGGGGAAAATACTCACAACTCTCCAAAGTGTTCGAGACACACACCAAATTAAAGCTTATTTCGTCATGTCTCATTTTCTTTTCAATTTTCGGGGGGGGGGGGGGGTTAACTGACGACTTTTAGGAGAAATTTCCATTCAAAGATGATCACCCCTGAAAACAATCCTGAAGCCCATCGCCATGTTGAAAAACGATCCCTGTACACTCCATTGCAAAATAGAGCACTTTAAGGGCCCCAATCTCATCCAAATTGAACGGAACTACAAGCTTACAGTCCTGTGCATGGCTTCCATCCACATTTTTTACAAACCCTCCAGTTCATGGCCCACAGCATGCTCAAATACTGAAGATGTTGAGGGCATGCTATTTGTGATTGGCCGGCGCAGGCAATTTCGGATCGATTTACTGGTCTGCAACCATGTGATGATTAGGGGTCATCAAAATCAGACATCTTGTGTGTATCACTACTGTATTATGAAGGGCCAAAGGTGTGCATATATTGTGGACTTTGGAACAAAAGATATCATACTGGTAGCAGGGACATTCTGCGGATTTGCCCACGTCCACACAAGGTCCTCTCTGGAAAACAGGTTTATAGGCATTTTTTTGGTTAGGTTTATTTGTTTCGAAATGAAGAGAAACGCTGAACGGAATCAAAAAAAGTTTGGTATGTAACGTAAACATGTGTGTGTTCACGAGTTGATCGTTCACATGATATTCCCTCAAAATGTGTGATAGGCGGCTGAAGCAGTTGTCAGGTAGGGCACTTCCCTCTGCATAGTAAGCAAGGTGAGGCCTTGTACACTGTATAAGGCAACTCAGTTGGGGGCAGCTTCCATGCTAAGGCCATTTTTTTTTTCTGGGTGGCCTCGTATACCTTTATTTGCTGCATTGTCATTAGAGCAAATGATTTGAAACTAGAGCTTTGGTATTTTCTTTAAAAGTTTCAGTTATTAACCCATGAGCAACTGGCACTTCATTGTTTTATATAAGTGTACAGGGTGTCGGTCACATCTCAGTGTTTGGCCACCCCATGAAATGGACCCTTGGTTATAGACACAACTCAATGAACAGTACTGACACTCTGAGAAAACTAGGCCTTCACACTTCTCTCTACAATATTCATATGTTATTTACAATACTTATCATACACAAGATTTATATTGCTTATTAAATTCAGATTCAGGGGCAACTTCCAGTATTTATATACAATCATAAATCTTAACTTAGTTACATGTGTCCAAGTGTCTCTTGTTGTCTTTTGTACAGCAAATGCCCGTAGCTCTCCCACTTAGCCAGTGGGGTACACACGGTCCTCTGGTCCCGCCGTTGTGGCCCAGCCTCACTCCTCTGGTCACGGGGACGCAATCCAAAACCAAGATTAAAAACCCTGAAAACATACTGGACGGGTGTTTCTTTTATATAGTTTGCCAATATGTTAATTTTTAACAATAAATAAGCAAGCAATAACTAATTTCTTCTCCAAAATATCAACATTTGTGCGTAACAAAATTTGTTTGGCCAAATTCCCTCAAGCGCTACTGGAAACTTGTTGGTAGGCCAACACTTGTCCCTTTGTATGCAATTAAGCCTTAATTTATTTTATACCATAATTAATGCCATGCTCTAGCCCATACATTACATGCTTAATCTTTCAATAAAATCTCATAAAATTAGTCTCCAGTTATTAAAGTGATATGTGCCCCACAGACTAAATCAATTAGGAAAAGTTTAATACAACAATAATTACATTTACAGTTAAACCTACAGGAATTGGAAGACTCCTGGCTTAGGCCAAAAAAAAAGTCTCCGGTTTCTGGTATGCGCGTGCGTTGCCGTAGCCATGTGCGTTGGCAAAATGAAAAAGTTTTTTTTTCAATGAAAGATGATGTCTCAAGACCGCCAAACTCACTGGTTTGACTGGAATCCTGCTGCTGCACAATTTTAACGTGTTTTTAGATGGGGTTATGATCGAGAATAAGCTTTATGTGGCCTCTCTGGACTCCCATATATTTGCACTAAGTCTAGTCGGGCACCATTTGCAGTCATCAGCCTACATTTTTAGGCAAAAAATCAGGTAAAAAAAAAAGTCTTTTTTGGGGCCTTATACACTGTTGTTAGCTTCACAAGTTTGGTTGTATCCAGCAAAATATATCGGAACTCTAACAGCTCTAACTGAATTTTCTGGTGCATGAACTCTCATTAGTTCAAACTCAATAATAGGTAAATGAGCGCTCATTATATAGCTCTGCCGCAGGCTGGCTGTGCCAATCTCCTTTGGCTTCTATAATAACAACCACTATATGTATCTTTGAGTCTGGCCACTCCCCTCTACTTGGAATTTCTCTCAGCAAGTGCTTGCTCTCACATTTGCCCTCGCTGGTTTACCCAACATAATTTTTGTTCCTATGCATAAACATAATCATAATCAGTTTAGTCTGTCCACTCAGGCTCCCATGCCTATTCAAAATTCACATTTAGTATTACGTAAGCCCCATTGGCCAATGACAAATTAGGTATGGCTTAACTATTTAAATATCTGAGGCTCATCAAAACACAGTTTGGCTAGCTCAGCTATCCCAGGAATGTTGGGTATGAGAGCCTCAATAAAAATAAATTGTGTTACTCTCTACATAATACACTTTCCAACTTTCAATGTACTAGATTAAGGCCACATTTGAATAAATCTTGTTTCTACAACCAATAAAGAGTAAATTAGTTTTATTCAAATAAAGTCACTCTGTGACAGTCTCCTACCCCCCCAAAAAAAACAAACCCTCAAAGCCTCCTCTTGTTCACAGCTTTTACAAGGATACTAATAGATATTTAGATAGCATACGTCATGAGCTTTTAAAAAATGAAAGATCTTCCCAATCGGGTAAACATTTGTTGAGTTGTGGCCAATTGAAAACAAGCACTGCTTTTTCATTTTGCCAATGGCGATCTATTTTGACTGCCACTATAAGCAGGGGTGGCGGAACCGGGGGGGCTGGGGCCCCCCCCCCCCCAGATTTTCCCAGTGTCCCTTTTGCGGCCATAAATGTGCCCCCTCGCCTCGAGCATAAAAGTGCCCCTTCGAGATAGAAAAATGCCCTTAAAGTCTCTTTCTATTTCTTCGAAGTAACCATTTCCCAATAATGGTATAGATAGTTTTGCTATAAATGAGGAATATGAAAACAAAGCCCCCAAAACCCATACAATACGCCCTGAAAAGGGGCACAGGGGCACAAAATGCATAGTTAGCATATAATCATCAGTTCTGAAGAGCGCCCCCTATGTTGGAAGATGGTACCAGGCCCCCCCCCCCCCCCCCCCCCCCCCCCCCCACCCCCACTATTTGATTTTACGGAGGCCAAGTGCTCGGTGAAAAACATGTGTCAACCTTTCAGCACGGATGTGCCAAAAAAAAAAATGCTGAGCAAGTGCCCCTTTTTGGGGATGCCCCCCCAGTTTCAAACCCGTTCCGCCGCCGCTGACTATAAGTTCAAAAGCCAAAATTTGCATCTGAGACAGAGGCTACCAAGTAGAGGGGAAACACAGAGCAGCACAGTGAACATCTAAGAAGTTAACCAAACAGTCCTTTTTGGGAGTACTGTACCATTTCTTTGTAACACACACCCAACCATTTTTTTGGTTAATCAAAGAATATCAAGAAACGATTTGGTAAAATTTGAATGGATGGTTTTCAAATTAGAAAGAGCAAACACTGTGTTGTGTGCCGCTAGGGGGCGCCCTTTTGAAAGATGACATCATCACACTTTTTTTTTGTCTGTCATTCCTCACTAAACACTATCATAATTTATATGTGTGTAGTAAAATGCTTCCGCTTGTGAATTACATTCGGTTTTCATTGCACTTCCGGTAATACCGGAAGTGAAGGTCAAGCGGTTTTGTGTCCGGGAACAAGAAATGTTTCTCAGGGCATAGTCTACAAGCTCTCGAAAAAACGAACACGATACTATATTTAGTTCAAAAGATATAGCGCAAACTATTTTGTCAAAAGTTGCCCTGAAATCGCTTGTAGTTTAATCCCTGATGATGTCATGATGACGTAACAAAATTTATAACATCTTCATAGCATGGTACAGGTTCACATTAGGTTTCTGGGACATACCGTAAACTGTTTGGAAGAAATTTTGCTTTGTTTTGATTTCAGGCTAAAGTCTTTATTTTAAATTCACCTAACTTTGACCTTCCGGTAGACCCGGAAGTAAAGGTCAAGCGAGTTCACGTACACGACAAAAAATGTTTATCAATTCATGGTCTATCCGATTACGGAATACAAACATCATTGATTATTTTGTTCAAGGGTTATAAGTGAAAGTAATTGATCACTTTTTCAGCTGAAATCACTTGTAATTTGACACCCGATGATGTCGTCATGACGTCAGAGTAATATGCACCACTAAGGATGAGGGTCGATATATGTTGAAAGTTACAAGTTCATATCATGAATTGTTTAGGAGAAAAGCTGCGGAGAAGTATTGTCCGGAAAAAAAAAAAAAGATTTATCAGAACAAAAACCACTCAATGAAATATTATAAAATTAAAGAAAGCAAAATTACCCTTACTCCAAATCCATCACGCTACTAATAAATCGCAATTTAAACCGTAAACAGAA